AAGAAGAAGAAGAAGAACCCCTATGGTTTGGAAACTTGTTCCAGTGGAGAACAAATGTTGCTAATCAAAGAGCAATTAGGCTCTTCACCACCCAGCCATCTCACTCTAACCGGATGTATGAAACTAAACAGTGTATGGCTTTTAAAAATTACCTAAGCCATAATAATTGCTCCCAACTGCATTCTTAGCCTTAAAATTTTACTGACAAAAGAGGGAGTATAGTAGCAAGTAAGCATGCATGTTAAATGATATACTGATTGGATCTAATTTCCATCTCAGGTCACCAGCTATATAGTCTCAAGCAAATTGCCTAAACACTATCAGTTTTACCCTCAGATCCATAAAGTAGATTAAAAAAAAGACAAACTCAATGGGGTTTTTATGAGAAGTAAATATGTTAATATAAATAAGGAACAGAACAGCTAAAGAAGTCAAGGTACCTATATCCTGGATAGGTGTTGGGAGTGAGAAAAAGCAGCACCGAACAAGGATGCCACCCTCATTCCCTAGTGGTTCTCAACCTATGGGTCGTGACCCCTTCGAGGGTCCAATGATCCTTTCACAGGGGTTGCCCGATTCATAACAGTAGCAAAATGACAGTTATGAAGTAGCAACAAAAAGAATTTTATGGTTGGGGGCGGGGGTTACCACAACATGAGTGAGGAACTGTATTAAAGGGTCGCGGCATTAGGAAGGTTGAGAACCACTACCCTAATGGTTAGTGATGTTCAACTTAAAAGAGTGGGTGAAATTAGTGATGTCCAACTGGAAAAGTGGATAAAGATCCTAGATTCACCTGCTTAATCATGTATAAGCTGTTGAGAAATTGATGTAGCACAATTGAAAAATCAGGAATCATCATTCGGATTCCACTCTGGTAACTGCAAACACTCTATGAGTTATTCTAATTTAGTGAGTTCATATACACAAAAATGCTGGGTAAACTGGAATCTGAGTTACTAGGACCCACTTCCCTTCTGAGCACCAATTATAACCTTTAGAGGCTTTCAATGAGCCCATACTGTACTTCTTGGATTCTAAATCTGTTCTCCTAGCTGGCTGAAACACATGGGGGAGGAACTGCTACTAACAATTCTTCATCTCTAGAGCCTATACAAGGCCCTAGCAAATCTACCTTTGTTAAGTGTTTAATGTAGGATTTAAAACATTACTTACAATTTAAGTGTTTCTTCTCTACTAAATAAAAATGAAATAAACATTTTAAGACGTATCTGTTTCATTTTCCTGGTTATACAAATTAAACATATTAAGGAAAACGTGAGGAAATAAAGAAAACAATGACCAATGCCAGCATACAGAGGTTAACTGTTTTGGGTAGTCTCTCTGCAGATACGCACATAGAGGGAGATGAAAAAGTCTAAATAGAAGCTGTTAGTACTACCAGATTACTTAAAATCCATTTTTTTTAGTGACTCAAGTACAAAATACTTTTGTTCTCATGAAAATATGGTTAATACCAAACTTGACCAATGGTTACCATGGATGAAGGAGTTGTTGCTTATGGGGCATTGAGTTTATGCTGATGCTGGTGGAATAATCTGGAGAAGGATATCAATAATGGCTGTACAACATGAAGCGTATAGTCAATGGTACTGAAATATACATGTAGAAGTTGTTGAATAGAAGAATGTTTTGTTGTGTACATTTTTGTCACAATTAGAAAAAAATTACATGAATAACAATGAGTACAAGGAAGAAGAAATATTCTAGAATTGACTGTCATGATAATTGTATTAACTCTTCTTGATAGGATTGAATTATTGAATTGTATGACATGTGAACGAAGTGGTAATAAAACTATTAGGAAAAAAAGAAGCTATGGTTAACAAATGAAAAGGCTCAAAAGTTTAACAAATCATTTCATAAGTGATACATATTTGTATTTTACAAATTAGCTTTATATGGGTACATTTTTTTAATTATGAAAAGGGGGAATTGTCCCTAAAATCAAACAATACAAGAGAATGTAGAGGGGGGGGGGGAATAAACAGTTATGTAGGGTAAGGACAAAGGATTATAGGTAATTTCTCTCTCATTTTTATCATTAAACATTTTTTGTGTGTGCAATATAATAAAAATCCAGGAAGAAAAATAGATTACTTTTTGAGAACTGCTCATTGAGGATCTTTAAAAGCATTGAATTCAACAGAACCAGAAGCCAGGGCATGCGAGAGATGAGTGGACTTCCCAGCCCACAGTAAAAGTAAAGCTGAGTGCTTCGGGCAGAAGACTAGCTTATAGAGTGGTGGCACTGAGTGCCTTTGGGCACTAAATTCAGGGAACTCGGTTCACAGACCCATAGAGCTGGAGCTATTTGAGTTACATCAAACTGCGGGCATTTATTAGCAACCCAGAAAGAACTTGGAGACATATCCTGATGAACAACTATATCCTGATCATTTCTTACCTGCATTATAACATGTTAACGTCTATAGTGAACCTTTGAATCGTGAAAAGATGAAATATTCTAAGCCTTAAAAAAGAGGCACTAAATTACACACACACAAAGAATATTGAACTACAACTGATTCTGGCACATCTCAAAGCACCTTAATTTCCATTAAATATTATATTACAATAACAGAAACAGTACATATTCTTCATGTGCTTATTATATGCCAGGCACTGTGTCAGACTCTTTAAGTGCACAGTCCTATCTAATTCTCATAAAGCTCCTGTTCAGTAGGCACTAAATTGTCTTCATTTCTAAAATGAGTAACGTGGGGCTTGAATATGTGGAGTCACATATTGTGGAGTCACAGAACATGTGGATTCAGACTTTGAACCGGATTCTCGCCACCATCAAGTTGATACTGATTCACAGGGAGCACACAGGACAGAGGAGATAGGCTCGTGTGGATTTCAGAAGATGCAAATCTTTACTGGAGCAGAAAATCCCATCTGTCTCCTGTAGAGCAGCTAGTGGGTTCAAGCTACCTACCTTGCAATTAGCATCCCAAGGTATAAGCCCGTTACCTCACCAGGGCGTCTTTATTTTTTTTTAATTAATTTATTTTTTAATCATTTTATTGGGGCTCATACAACTCTTATCACAATCCACACATACGTCCATTGTGTAAAGCACACATATACATTCGTTGTCTTCATCATTCTCAAAACTCTCGCTTCCGCTTGGGCTCCTGAAATCAGCTCCTCATTTTTCTTTTTCCTCCCTCTCCCTCATGAACCCTTGATAATTTATAAATTATTATTTTATCATATCTTACAGGGCTCCTTTAAGCCAGACACTCTCTCCTTCCCTCTCTCTCTCCCTCCCTCAATGCTATCCAGTGGAGAGACACAAAGTGACCTTATTGGACAGAATAGAACTAAACTGTCTCCGTGGGTTACTTAGACTGTAGCTCTTTATGAACTACCCTCCCCTAAAGACCTTACTGATTTTCCTTCAGCTTTACGTAAGAGCCTATTCAAAATTAACTTTCTGCCGAAAATCAGCCAGATAATGTACAATGAAAGTGTAACATTTTGAATGAAGCTAAAGTTCAGCCAAGGAGACTTGCTGATGCTGTCTAGTAAGTGTCCACCCCATGACTGGTAGTTCAAAACAACCAGGCGTCGCTCATCCAGAGAAAGATAAGGTTACTTGCTCCGAGAAAAGATTTACAATCTCGTTAGGATCACTATAGGTCAAAATAAAATTGATGGAAGTGCGTAAAGTTCAGTCACATAAGGAAAAAATAACCAAAAAACAAACAACGACAAGGAAATGGACAAAGATGAAGAGTACTGTGGGAACAAGGGGATAAGGACATCTTTCACTGAAGTACACTAAAATAATTCACAAGCCTTACTGGATGGAATCTGAGAACACAAATGATTACTTATGTAACTGTTCAAACCTTTTGCCTCCCTGAAATAAAAGTCTCATTAAGAAATACAAACATCTAAATTTTCACTACAGTATTTGTTGATTCAGTTACATTTATGAGCATTTATAAAATTTTAACTTGACTCAGAAAAGTTACATTAAGGTTACTAAGGTTTATTGCAATTTGTTTATTTTGCATGAGTCACAGAAAACAGATTTTTAAGTATCTGTTAATACCAATTATCTCTATTTATGAAATTAAACTATATTTTAAAAAGTAAACAGATTAATATTTTAAATTTGAATTGTTTCACAATTTCTTTTTCTTCAGATATATTTAAAGCTAAAAATATATATATATAGTAGCTTCTACATAAAACAAAATATAGTGATGCTAAAGAAAGCAGAATAAAAAATTCTTTAAAAGCAGAATCATCGGAGTAATCAAAGGACTTCTCTTTCTTTCCCTACTCACTACTCTATCCTGCCTTCAACTCATACTTCTCTCAACCTTTCACCCTCTAGAAACAATCTTCAAGGTTTTCCCTTAAAAATAAAAAAAATTGAATTTTAATGATTGCTCAGATCCCCCAACACTGTATAATAATTTGTTAAAGGTTCAAGATCATTCTGACATTTACATTTATGAGCACTTTTCCCCTTTTAAGTTCTGTCTGCCTCTAAGTGGCCTCCCATTTATTTCATACAAAAAATTTGGGGACAACCTCCAAATATTTCCAATTTAAGAAACTATTAACTAAATCCTCAAGAACCAATGATAAGACACTGTCATTACTTTACAGACAAGCATAATTTTAAGAATTTTTGACATGAAATACAGATCAAAAGGGATTGAGTTCATTATTACTCACCAATAGTTTAAACAACCCTCATATATTTTGACAAATACCTAATTTTCAAAATGTACATTGTAAAGTCAAATTTAGAAACAAAATAATCTCTGCCTCCTTATAGATAATTACTTATTAGAATCACAACAAATATGACAAGCAGTTAAATAGTATATTAAACTTGCATTTTTCAATAATGATAAAATATTACTAAAGTATTAATAGTACATCAAGAATATTTTTACCAAAAAAAAAGAAAAAGAACATTTTTACCAAGGCCATTAGCCCCCAAACTTCCTGTCATAGCACCAAATCATACTCACTCTGAGCGGAGGCGAGCTTCCATACCGTCTGGTAGGAAAAGTTTTATTGTGGAAACAATACACCCATGGGTTACTGGTAGAAACAAACAAAATGTATAAAAATAATTGTTTAAAAGTATTAAGCTCCATATCTTTTATATCTAAACATATATTTTATCCTTAAATGTAGTAAATTCCAAAAGAAAATAAATCTGGTGACTTAATGACAATATTCATTACTCAGGAGAAATTCATCTCTGTCCAGAATGATTCTAATCACATAGCAGGATACAGAAGGAAATTTCTTGAAAAGTGTACAACCTTCAATTCTATATTCAATAGAAAGCCAGTTGAATATATAAAAATTATCTATAACTAAGAGAGAGAATGCACTTTGCCCACCTGTTAACTTCTGTTTCCCAATTTAAAAGATAGCCTATTCCTACTTCTGCTGTCCTGAACCTTTAATTCCTTTCCATACCTTCCACAAAACTCTGACCTCAGACAAATGAAACTGCCTCAATAACTTCTGTTATTAGGTGTCTCAAATTCTCAGTTTAGTTTTTCAAATTTTTGTTTTCAAGTCCCATCTATAAGTCAGTCAAAACTCTGCCTAACATAGCAATCATAGAATATACTACTAGGCTCCTTCCACCCTTTCTGGCCTCACTGTCTATTTTGCCATCTTAGATTTTCTATATAAAACTAAACCACCTGCATTGTCCCTCACAATTCACCTTTCACTACCCCAGTGCTTTACACAAGCTTTCCCTTCTGTCAATGATGTTCTTTACCTCCATGTTTGCATGATCAATTATTATTTATCTTCTAGACTCAGCGGTTCTACTTCCTTCATCCACGTTCATATCTGACTAGGTATTCCCAGAGAACCCTGTCCCTACTTATTACAATGAGTACAGTGCATGGTGACTATCATTTACACAACTGTCTCTCACCAGATAAAATTAGCACTTTAGGGCCAGCAAGGATTGGTTGCTTTTTAATTTTTAACATTAGCAAAGAATCAAATACTCAATACCAAGGTAATCTTTACTATGAAAAAGAATGTCTGTTAGTCTCTATAAAATGGAGGTTGAACAGGGCAAGATATGACAAAATACTCATTTATAAACTATCAAGGGCTCATGCGGGAGGGGGGAGCGGGGAGGGAGGGGAAAAATGAGGACCTAATGTCGGGGGTTTAAATAGAGAGAAAATGTTTTGAGAAACGATGTACAAATGCGCTTTACACAATTGATGTGTGTATGGATTGGGATGACAGTTGTATGAGCCCCTAATAAAATGTTAAAAAAAAAAAAGTAATCTAAAAAACAAAAACAAAAACAGACAAACAAACAAAAAAAAGGTGAAATGTTGATTGATGACAAACCTTGTTTGCCGACTTGTAGTGCATTTGGAGTTTGTTCCACAAGGCCAGACTGTTAATCAAGCTTTCTATTTAGAGGTTCTGAAAAGATTGTTTAACAGTGTGTGACAAAAAAGGCCTGATTTGCGGCAGACAGGGGAATGGTTTTGCCACCACAACAATGCACCTGCTCATGCAGTGTACCTCATTCCATGGGACTTTTTTGTTTCCTCGAATGAAGAGGGACATGAAAGGACAATTTGGTTACATAGAAGAGGTAAAGAAAAAAAATGAGGGAGGTACTATCATCCATTCAAACAGACGAGTTTGAAAAATGTTTCCAAGAATGGAATCACAGATTTGACAAATGCATTAAGTGTAACAGAGAGTACTGTGAAGGTGATAAGGTTGTTACATTAAAAAGTTTAAATATATAGCTTTGAGAAAAACAATTCCGGTTGTTTTTTGGGGGGGTGGGGGGGAGATCTTGCATACCGTGTTTCCCCAAAAATAAGACAGTGTCTTATATATTTATTTTTCCTCAAGAAGACACACTATGGCTTATTTTCAGCGGGTGTGTTATTAAGTATGGTACAACGATCTACATTTATTCAAATGTAGTTAAGTCGTCGTCTTCTGGAGCATCGACCCACAGTGCTGAGTGAAACGGCAGCCACGGCTTTACTTTTTCCCCCTGAGGACACACAATACCTAGAGCAGAGCTTCCTGCTCGCTCCTCACTCCACTGAGGAGACTTTGACTTCCACTGTTTATGTCTCCCTCTCTGCCTCAGCTTGCAGCGTGCACAGAATGACCGGACCGGACAGGGGAGCCGACCTTGTTGATGGGCTGTCCACACCTCTCTGGTCCCCTCCACAATAGCAGCTGTCATGCCGGGGCAGAGGAGAAGGGCTGCCAGTCTCTGTGACCACTCAACGATGGTGCGCTCAGAGCCACGCCCATCACTGTGTCTTATTTTGGGGGTATGGCTTATATTGCGCAAATGCTTAGAAATCCTGCTACGATTTATTTTATGGGTATGTCTTATTTTCGGGGAAACAAAGTATATATATCTCCATGATAAAAAATTTAAAATAAAAATGCCTAGTTAATATTTTACAGCTTCCCTTACGCAGTAATAAAAATGTTGCTTACTTTAAGGATAATAAAGTTTGTCTCCATTGAAATATCTCATACCCTCCACCTCGCTGGCAGAAGACAGGGAAAACCAAAAAACAACCCAATGACATTAAGTTGACTCCACCTCATAATGACACTATAAGACAGAATACAATCATCCCTTTGGGTTTGAACTACTGACTTGCGGTTAGAAGTCCAAAGCAGAATCCATTAAGCTACCAAGACTTCAGAGAGCCAGGAAAGGGCAGAATTAATTACAGGTCTATGGCTTCCTCAAGCAGCTCTAGTAGCGCTGTGATTAAGCACCCAGCAGTGAACCAAAAGGCTGACAGTATGAACCTCCCACCAGCTGCTCCCCGGAAGAGAGATGCAACCAACGGTCAGCTTCTGTAAAGACTGCAGTCTCGGAAATTCCATGGGGAAGTGCTATCCTGTTGTATACGGTCACTCACTGTAACTTGGCAATGAGCTATGGTGTTGCACAGAGATTCATTAAACACAGGCTACAATAAGTACAGAAGCACAATAAGAAGATCCAGCAATGCTAACATTTGAAGCCCCACTTCTTCTTTGAGATATGCATCCTTTGGCGCCCAGGGAACCTGACCTTAGTTGGCCCTGAGTAAGGGCTCTATCATATGATCTGATGATTTTGAAGCTTAGTGTGGATGGACATGAAGACCTGACCACTGTGGACCCTAAGGGTCCCGTACCTTGGGGTTTTTCTCAAAAGCACCTACATCCCAGTTTGGCTAAAATTAGCCAAAGTCATCAAAGAGCAGCAAATGGTTGTCTCCAAGGTCCCTTAGGGCAGCCTATACACACTAACCCCCAAAGGAAGGACGGTTGGCTTAACTGGCTGCAGCAAGTAAACACTTTTGCTGCTAAGATAGGTCACTTTCAAGTCCAACAAATAGAAGGATGTAAAAATCTACAAGCTGAACCAAGGGCTAACTAACTTGGTAGTATAGGGTTGCTGCACGGCTGAAGGGAGTCAGAGATCACACCTGACTAAGCAGACAAGTCCAAAATATCTTGTCTTTACAAATAGCTCCAAGACAACTAGATACATAGATGCATAGAAAGGTTATAGGTTTGACTTCCCACAAGCAAGTAGCTGAAATACAGGTGAGGAGCTGGCAAGAATGGAGCAGAATGTGAAGGAAAACTTGCTGCCATGAAGCTAATTAAGCAAGATTATCAAAACCAGTTGTACAGTAAAACCATGTGAAGCTTTGGGGAAAAAAATAGGCATGTCCAGGTCCCATACTTACTAATTTTCTTTCTTAGACTCTAGGCATCTGTAGGTTTATAGAGCTCTGCGGGTAATTTTGGTACACAGCCTGGGAGAGAACCCATTTTTAAATGTTAAAAGAGATGCCCCTCTCACTAAGAAGGTTTCCTCAGTCACTCAGTCAGTTTGGTACAGTCTGTGCTGAATCAGCTTTGGGATTTCCCCTATTAATGGCAGATAGCAATGGTAAAAATGATTTGCAGGGTTTTAGGAATCATAACAGTACTTGGCTGAGCACTTTATATACATTCTTTAGATGTTCCCACAACCATCCATAGACAGTGTTAACAGTGATTCCCATTTTTTAAGATGAGGAAACTAAAGCTCAGACAGGTTATGGATAGCAGTTAAATAAAAAGGGTAGTCAGTAACAAAAAGATTTTCAAGTTCCAGTCCTTACATTAAGCCCCTGGAGTTAGGAGAAGGTTCCTAAAATCTTGCTATAATAAAGTGGTAGAAGATATTTTTGAAAAATGGTGAATGAAGATTGACGGGGCATTTGTAAGTTATTCAACCAGGTGTATGGATTCTGCAATGAACAAGAGAGACACACTGTTACTGCAGCATTTACAGTTGAGTGAGGTAATCGACACACTTTTCCAAAGTAGGATGAGTGCAGGGTGCAACCTTGGCATGAGCAAGTCATCTGGTCCTGTGTCAGAAGATGGAGAAAGGTATCTAGGCACAGGAAACCGTGCTTAGAGGCCAGGACTGGGATTCTGGTTTTGTTGGAGGGAATAAAACTAATTCAGTGCAGATGGAGCCTGAAGCAGGAGGAGGATGCCAAAGAACTTACTCATAAAAGGTCTTGGGCTGATAGGGACAGATATTTGTGAAGCTGACCTGAAGTGATAAATAGCAGACAGGAGTTTCTGGTTAAAGATTATCTAATTAATTGACCCCATTTTCACAGTGATATTTTATATATATAAAAAAATAAATTCACTGCCATCAGATTGATTCTGACTCATAGTGATACTAGAAGACAGGGTAGACCTGCACCTGCCGGTGCATTCCCAAGACTGTAACTATAAATATATTTTCTATATTTTTCATGATGAAACAATTATGTTTTGCTAATTTTTATCTGATTAATAATTTTAATTGCATATTTTATTGGTTATTTTTTAAAAACTTCCTTATGTCACTCGGGTGAAGATTTACAGAGCAAATCTATTCTCCATCTACCTATTCATACATTTGTTTCCACATCACTTATTGTAGTCCCCACAAGGTAAAAATATTGCTCCCACTTCTTCCTTGTGTTTCCCATTTCTATGCTTCCTTCTTTCCTAACCGTTCCTGTCTCCTGAACCGTGTCCAGAGGTAAATGGTGCCCCTTTGATCTCAAATGGGTGGCTGATCTTATAAGGAGTACATATCTCTCTAGTGTCCTTGTTCACTTTATAGACCTGTCTATTGTTTAGCTGAAAATTGAGTCACTTGGGCAAGTTTAGTTTTGTTTAGTTCCAATACTGTAGGGTACTTCAGGGTCATAATCTTGTTATGGACTTTGAACTCCACAGTTCTCTATCCATCCAGTAATCCTGGCCTTTCAAAAAATGATTCTGAGTTTTTGTTCTACATTTTTCTCTTGGTTTCTACAAGATCTTCTAATGTGATCCCTTTAAGAGCAGCCAGTAGTGACAGCAATGTACTCTCTAGTTCTTCTGGTCTCGGGATTGTGCAGACTGAGGTTTGTGTGATCAGTTATGCTATCAGATTATTTCCATGTGCCTTTCAATTCTGATCACTCTTCTTTATTTTGGTCTGGAAGAGATCAATAGAGGCACCTTAGATAGCCATTCAGATGATTTTAAGACACAAGCTGCTACTCACTAAAGTAGGATGCTAAACATTTTCTTTGTGAACTATGTTGTATTGCTTAACTTTGATGTCTATTGAGACTAAAGTTCTGAGCCCATAAAATAAATGGTATTTGGGACTGTTTATCCCTCCTAGAACTTTTTGTTTCATTAACTGCTACTTTTTATTTCTTCTCAGCTTGTTTGTTGTTTTCCTTGTTCTTTTTAAAAAATTCTTTTCCATCTATCTATTCATACATTTGTTTCCACATCACTTATTCCTTCACTGTTTGCCTTTCTTTTAATAATGAATTTAAGATGATCAATTTTATCTGACTAAAGGATTTGACTGTATTTGGGCATAAAAGTCTCCTATCTAATCTATTCCTTTCAGCATAGTTTTAAATTTCTTTTAGTTTCTTCTTTGATCCAAGAATTATTTTGCAGTGTTGTATAAGCTCAGCAAGATTTTCAAGAGGTATAAAGCTGTTCATAGTACTGTTGAGCACACACCAAAGTCTACAGTTATTTCTGGCCTATGCTGAAACAGGTAGTACATAAATCATGGCACTGCTGTACACCAATCCTATAGGTAAGTCAATTCTTGAAATAACATTTCAAATAATAGAAAACATTTTCTTTACCTAATTTCCTTAAAGTGGGCATAAAAGATTAAATTTTCAAATAATCCTGTAGAAATCTAGGATTACAGAAATAATATTGTACAAGTAATGTCCTTGAATTTCAGTATCATCTTCTCTACATTTTTAAAAGCGTGTCCATCAGCTAGACAGGAAAGGATAGAAAGGAGTTTGGAAAGGGCTGTCTTCTACACTTACCAGTCTCTTGGAGATTTGCATATGTGCTAGCATAGTAAAAGCTCTGAGAAATCCAACTTAACTTTGGTTTATTTATCATCTCCTAAATGTATCTGGAACTCTAACTCTGGTAGAGCAGTGGGTTCAAAACTCTGCAGTTTGAACCCATTAGCTGCTCTGTGCGAGAAAGATGAGCTTTTGTTCCCATGCAGATTTATAGCCTATAGGGCAGCTTTAATGTGCCCTATAGGGTGTCTATGAGTCAGAATCAACTCAATCGTAGTGGGTTGTTTTTATCTCTAATACCTACTAGTTTCTCTTTGGAAAATGCACACCAAGAAGACGGGCACTCCGAGGGGAGAAACACAGTGTAGTTAAATTTTGCCTTCTTTGTGGGTGACTCGGAGCTGCACTCAATAAATATTTGCTGAAGGACTTGGTGCCACAGAAGGTGTGATATAACAATAGGAGAGGTAGGATTGTCCACTACAGCAGTTCCATGTTTGATTATATGCAAAGTGAGTTCTTTCATAAGGAGTAGTCAAAATTTTACATAAAAATATAATCTTTTTCCTGTTCTACAATTGTAAACGGAAATTCTGAGTTTTAGCCCTAACAAAATTCTAGTATCAAACACTAAACGAGGAGACCAAAAGTTCCAGTAAAAAACAATAAATTGGGGTTATAATACCAGTAAAAGTATATACATAAATATACGCCTGCATACACAAACCAGCAGCACAACCACCACCCATCTCTGTTGTGTAAAATGTCAGAGACTGATGGCATAACCTATCATCCGTCATAGGCAGAGTGTGTTCAGAAAAACAAAAGGAGAAACTTGCCAAATAGATTCACTGTTTACAATAAACTAATACAGTGGAACTGCACACTATGGGTTCATTTTCATTTAATCTTCTGATTTAGCCATGTAAATCCATAGTCATAAAGCAAACTACACAGAACCAGGAAATCTTCAGAATGGTAAAAATAAACAGCCTACATTTATTTTGTAAGGAACTCCAGTTTCCAAAACCGAGCATACAATTGTATTTTATACTTGCAACAGAGACTGTCAGCTGCTATCTCTATAGCCTTTTCTCATTTTCTCAACGTAAAAACAAGAATGTTTCTTGTCCCAGCTCATCCTCCTGTCAGAGTTACTGGTGTGAGGACAATGAGGTCTGGGCTGTGGCCATCAGGATCCCTAATGTTGTTGTCATGTAGCTAAACGAACAAACTCTGAACCTACCCACCTCCAGACTTCATGTTAACAATAGATATCCTCACAGGTTAGGCTCCTAATGATTGAGTGTGCTGTCATTGCAGCCAACTACCTCCTAATGTTTTCATAATGTGATTAGAAATATAAATTAGTAACATTTCAGAATTTAAAATTTTAGAAAATGGGGAAGGTAAAGGATTTCTAAATTTTCACTGCATATAATGCTGTATTTAACGCTGTTTTATAACATTAAGTACCAGAATTTAAAAAGTAAGCTTAAAAAGACAAATAAAAGGAAAAAACGATCCATACCCATACCTTTCCGTGTGTTCTCCGTCACATCTACCCCAAACTGAATAATATCGCCAGAAAGAATTTCACATGGTGGACTTTCTTCAGAGCCTCGACTCAATCTCTGGCTATTTATAAAGGTACCATTACTACTTTTAGTGTCTTGGAGATAAAACTGCAAAAAAAAAAATTTTGAGCCAAAGATTAATAATTCCATACCTACTTAAAAATTTAAAATAAAACAAAAAGTACTATAACTCTACAAACAATTGCAGGTAGGTTCTTAATCTCCCTAAGACAAAGCACACAATTCAGCTAAGCTTCTCCTTCCGATTTGATGGCAATGGTTTCGCTCCCAGGTGACATGAAATAAGGTAGAAAAAATGGCACAGGAACGTTGGAAAAGTTTGTCAGTTTCTTAAATAGTTAAACATAGAATTACTATATGGCCGAGATTTCCAAATAACCAAAGAGAATGGGGGAAAATGTGTACGTGTATGTTCATAGCAGCATTAGTCATAAAAGTCAAAAAGCAAAAGATACCCAAATATCAATCAATTAATGAAATAACACATAAAATCTGATGGCTGTTGTTCAGGTGCCTCTGAGTCAACTTCAACTCACAGCGACGCTATGTTATGACAGAGATGAAATGTCCCATAACTGTCCCATAGGCACAGTGGTTAAATGCTTGGTTGCTAACCAAAAAAGTCAGCGGTTTGAACCCACCAACTAAATCAATGAGTCTCAACCTGTCGGGGGTCACGACCCCTTTGGGGGTCAAACAACCTTTTGAAAGGGGTTCCCTGAGACCATCAGAAAACATATTTCTGATGATCTTAGTAATCGAGACACTGCTCCTCTATTCGTCTCTCCAGGCTGGTCCATCTACATGCAGATACACTCACAAACAAGTACCCAGCATGAAGACTGTTACCCATGCTACGCCATGCTTCCAGACAAAATTTTATTTATTTGTAATTAGAAATAAAGATTTCAAAATATATAATTACATATTGTTTTGGGGATTGATCACTATGCTTTAATTATGTTCAATTTGTAACAATGAAAATACATCCTGCATATCAGATATTTATATTACAATTCATAACTAGCAAAGTCATAGTTATGAAGTAGGAACAAAAATAATTTTATGGCTGGGGGGTCACCACAACATGAGTAACTGTATTAAAGGGTTGCGAAATTAGAAGGTTAAGAACCACTGGACTAACTGGTCCATTGGAAAAAGATCCTGTAGTCTGCTTTAAACATTATAGCCTTGGAGACTCTATGGGGCAGTTCTACACTGTGAATAGGGATCAACTTGACTCAACAGCAGTGCATTTCCAGTATTTATGGGAGTAGACCACCAGATCTTTTGCCCTATGCTGCCTGCTTGTGCATTTGAAGTGTCAACCTTTTGGTTAACCATTAATCATGTAGCCTTACATTACAAAAGGAATAAAGCAATTGTCAATACATACATACTACCACATAGATGAACTGTGAAAATTTTATGATAACTAAAAGAAGTCAGTCACAGAAGACCACATACTGTATGATCTCATTTATACAAAATGTTCACAATAGACACATTCATAAACAAAAAGTACATTCACGATTATGAGGGGCTAAGGGAAGGAAGGGAGTGAGGAGTGAATGCTAATGAGTACAGCATTTCTTTTGGAAATGATAAAATGCTCTAAGATTAGGTATCATAATAGTCTCTGAAGATTCTAAAACCCAATGAATTGTACACTTTAAAACAGGGGTGTCAAAGTGGCGGTCTGTGGGCCGCATGCAGCCCCTGAGTAATTTTTTGTGGCCCACGATGCTCTGAAATAAAATGTAATGAGTGAATTGTGTGTACGGTATTGCCTCGATCTCCCCTAAGCGCTATTTTCTTCATGACAAATTTTTCTATTTTCTTTTTCATTTCTTCTTTTTTTTTAATCACTTTATTAGGGGCTCATACAATTCTTATTACAATCCAAACATACATCCATTGTGTCAAGTGCATTTGTGCATTTGTTGCCATCGTCATTCTCAAAACATTTGCTTTCTACTTGAGCCCTTAATATCAGCTATTCATTTCCCCCCTCCCTCCCCATTACCCATCCCTCATGAACCCTTCATAATTAAAAATTATTATTATTATTTCATATCTTACACTGTCCGATGTCTCCCTTCACCCAATTTTCTGTTGTCCATCCCCCAGGAAGGAGGTTATATGTAGATCCTTGTAATTGGCTCCCCCTTTATACCCCACCTTCATTCCACCCTCCAGGTATCACCACTCTTCCTGAAGGGTTCATCCGTCCTCGATTCCCTGTGTTTCCAGTTGCTATCTGTACCAATGTACATCCTCTGGTCTAGCCAGATGTGTAAGGTAGAACTGGGATTATGATAGTGGGGGGAGGAAGCATTTAAGAACTAGAGGAAAGTTATATGTTTCATTGTTGCTACCCTGCACACTGACTGGCTCATCTCCTCCCCACGACCATTCTGTAAGGGGGTGTCCAGTTGCCTACAGATGGGCTTTGGGTC